CTGAACTGAAGCTCTCCTTTTTCCAGCACTATCTATTACGTGCTGAGGACGGACCATAGGGCCTGTGCACTCGCCAGGCACGTGCTCCGTGCCTGGGCTAAATTTCAAACCTTCTAAGCACTTTTTAAGTCCAACAATGAAATATTTCTCGACCATAGGTCCTAATTAACAGAGTACAAAGATGAATCATGCATCATGTTCAACAGCTGGCCTCAAGGGCCTCCTCTCTTAAGGCAGGCAAGTCGCAGGGAAGCAAGGTGGCTCAAGGCAGTATATAACAAATAAATGACAGCAAAGTACTGCCAAAGTTTAAAAAACACAGGCAGCTCACAATCACCTGGAATTTCAGAGGGCCTCTCTCTTCTGCCCTCTCTGGGGACCAGACACATACAGCACACACACACACAGACAAAACACTCACATAAATAAAAATACATTAAAAAAAATCACACCTCTTCTTAAATTTCAATAGATGAACTTGAGTTGGTGCTAAGGAAAATTGAAAGCTTTCATCCATTTTTTGAAAGCCTGGAAGGGTATTCTTTTAATTTCATTTTTTAAGTTGTTTTACATTTTTATCTTGTGTGTATGTGTGCCAGGGGCCAAAGGCCAATTTGTAGGAGCCGATTTTCTACCATGTGGGTCCTGAGGCAGAACCCAAGTTGTTAAGATTGGCAGTTGGTGCCTTAACTTACTGAGCCATCTTGCCAGTCCTCAGAAGGGTATTCTGAAACAGTTGTCCTTAAAATATCCTGGGGGCTGCTACCAAGAGTCCTTTTTAAAGATGCTCCAAGGGATCCAGGAAGCCAAACTGTCCTCATAGTTAATAACTTGGGCACGACTTATTGAGTTCTTTTAAGTCTCATGCTGTAAAGATTTTTGTGAGCTGTACATGAGCTATCAAAAAGGGCTGAAAGAAGAACCAAGCAGCTAAAGCATTCTGAAAAAACTAGAGCAATGTCCCTCTTTTCAGTGAATTTTCTGAAAAGTTATTTTCACAGAAATGCCATTTTTACTAACATGTAATGAGTATTATTGCTATTATTAGCTGAATTGATGAATACTTAAAATTTTCAGTTTTAATTTCTAATATGAAAAATATGGGCAGATAGCTGTAACCCACCTACACAAAAGCTGTTTGGGTTCTCAGCGCCTTTGAGGAGTGTAAGGGCCTTCCCTTTCGTCTGAGCACTGCTGTTCAGCATAAAAGCATACCGGGGAGAGAGCGCCAGACACACTCTGCAGGCAAATGCACACACTGGAAAGCGCCTTTTCAGTGTGGTGGCTCAGGAGAGGCTCTCCTCTGGGGACATACAGCAATGCCTGCCACTGGCATTTAGTGGGTGAGGCCAAGGATAGACACACAGCCCCCAGAACAGCCTCTAAGAAAGTGCCTGGCTCTAAATGGCTGGTTTAGGGACTAGGTGCCGGCAGTCTGTGTGTCCTGGGGCTCTCACCTATTAGCTGACATTTGGATGGAGTGGGAGCTGGAGGAAAGGACATTTAAGGAAGACCCAGGTGCTTCTGAGGCCCTGAAGCCAGCCAACCCAGAGCAGCTCTTCCATCTGAGGCTGCACCATCTTTCTATGCTCCTAAGCACTGGACAAGGGCCTGAGAAAAGCCAGCCAACCTATGGACGGAGGCTTTGGCCCTTCCACAGAGGGCATCAGATAAGTCCCTAGGTGGCTCTTTCCAAACCACTCCCACAATCCTCTTCCAAGTTATTCAAGAAAGATGCCTGCTCCACAGAAGATGAACAGCCCCAAGTTAATTTTGAAAAATACCTTCATAAAATTTTTACCTATGTTTACATGTAATGGTTGTTAATAGATTAGTGATTACTGTACCACCCAGCCTAACGTAATCCCTGCCAAGCCTCGTCTTACTCTCCTTGCTCCGGTATGCCAGCGGGCAATGGCTATGAAATGCAAAGGAACAGAATATTCATAAAGGTAAATGGTATCAGAGTAAGGCATCAAGTCCGAGGGAGGATTGCTCAGGTTTCTTTCCAAGCACTGGATGTTACATAAGAGATGCTGGAGAGACTTTCAAGTAAAACTGAGCCCGGCATTCCAAATACACAGAGAATGAGACTCAACCACCTTTAATGTGCCAAAACCAAATCATTTTATAAAAATCATGAACACATTTTAAAATGTCAACTTTCAACAAAGTACACAGACTTTAAAAACTCAAAAAGAACGCCATCCAATGGCCTGCAAAATGAATGTCTGGATCTCAGTGTAATTTATTTAAGATTTTAAATATTCATAAAAATGTGCCTAGTCATGTTCCTCTATATCCGAACGCTAATTTGTTTTTTTCTATCCATATCCACATTGTCCAGCCTCAAGTGGCCCATTTTAACCTGCCCGTTAGAAATACACTACAAAATAAACCTGTATCTAGCACTAGACAGAAATGTCTACTTCTAGGACACTTGGGAATAAGCAACAAGTCAAACTTTAACATACTATTTTACAGAGAAGAAAAAAAATGTACTAACATGTCATTGAAGAAATTTCTAGAACAAGGCATAACTGCCTAGTAGGCAGAATTTCTTAGGAAAGTAGGGCCTAATCTGTCCCACACAGGTAAAAAACAACCCTCCACTCTTTAGCTCCCTAAGTTGTCTTAGAGATGAAGGAACAAGTTACGCAAGGTGAGCGAGCATACCGCTCACGGCAAGCAGGACTCAGTGCCCGCGCTCTAACCTCCAGCCTGGAATACCTTCCTGTGTCTCATGCTGTCTTCACTCCAGCATTTTCCTTCCTTATTAAAAGGAAGGCCACGCTCTGGCCAAAGTGTTCTGTGATGTAAACCACTTGAAGCCTTTTCTCTCGTGAGACAAGGGGGCTGCCAGCCAAACGTCTACTGTAAGGGCTTTCCACCTACTTGGCGTGGTATGTTAAATCAATCACAGGCTAACTTCTTGACCCCTCTGCTGGGATTCTTCCCCAAGCCTTCTGGCCGCTCATCTATAGCTGTGCACCTGCCCTGTTCGTCTCTCCAGGCTGTGAAGCTGGAGTGTGGCAACTGTCCAGGCTCGGAGCCCCCTTCATGGGGCCGCTTGTGAAAGGGACAGGATGTTAGAAGGGCTCAAGGAGCAACACGGGAATAGCAAACCCATCTAAACTGTTTGGGTTAAGATCCTCAAATTCAGAGTGATAGGAGAAAAGGGGTGTGTGCAACGATGCCTTAACTCGGTTGCCGAGTCAGTCATACTCAGTAAGTAGGTGGGACTGGAAGAGAAAAAGAGAGTTGAGGGCTGAGGGAAGGAAGACAGTGATCAGAAAGGAAGCCTCAACCCCGAGTTCCCAGGAACTGAAGTGCCTTGACCTGTGTTCCTGCAAAATAATTTACACAGTGATCTGCCAAGGGTCATGTTTACTATGCCATGTTGCCTCGAGCACTCTTCTGAGGAGGGGGTGAAGCGCCCAATATTTCAGTGGTCATTTCAAGCTCTGTGACTCCAGTTCTTAGACAGTAGCAGTAGAAGAGATACAAGAAGACAAGTGAGGCATCACACTGGATACTGCAGGCCACACTCAAGAGCCCTACACAGCTGACAGTAGAGCCCCCAACGGACTTCACAGACACTTTTTTACATGGCAGTGGTATGGGCATCTTTGAACTGGGATGGGTTTTTTCAGGTCCAAACCTAACATTATCTATATGTCCTACCTTTACAACATAGTTCTTTCTGCTAAAACAGGGAGAGATGAAACACACAGACTGATAGTTCCCCCCCCCCCCAACACTAATGGGATACAAGCGTGTTTGAGCAAGGAAGCTTTGGAGAGCAGTAGGAAGTTTTAGCAGTTCTAACAAGGCAACAAAGCACAGCGTACAACCCTGCAAAGCAACCACATTTCTTGTCAAACTGCTGAAGAGATGGCTCTTGAAGGCAGCCAAACACAAGTGTGCCACAGGAAAACGTCACGATCTGCTACACAGAAAGGGCAGGCAACGACTGGCACAGACAATCCTAACTACTGGTATTTCAGGAAACTTTTGGATTTCTGCTTTCAGCTCTAGAGAGGGCAACAGATTTGCTGGGATGAACCACCTGCTGCAGAGGAGGGAGGCTTAGAACACACCAAATGAGAGGGGAAAGACAACCTGGAGCTAAAATAACCCCTGCAGATCATCGACAATTAACTGCAGTTTTTTTCCACCAGGAATTCAACTCATTCCAATGTGCCTTGCAGGAAGGTGAGGCCTAATGCCACAAATCAGAAATGTCTGTGTTAAGATTGCAATGACCCGGCTCTGGAGAAGGAAGACTAATGAGTGGCTTCTGGGTGCCTGTAAGTTAAAAACTGAATCCACGAGCTCTGGCATCCTTGGCCTTGGGCGCTCTGATTCCAAGACAATGAAATACAAGAAAAGGCAAAAGAAAGTGGCAGCCCTGCAAAGGCCCCCAGGGCCCAACTCGATTACAGATCACAGATTCCGACAAATGACCCAAGGGGTCATTCCAGATATTCCTGAGATAAGCCAAAGCCAGGAAGCAAGAAAAGTCAAAAACTCACCAATGAGGATGGGGGAGCTGGAGGGAAAGGAAATACAAGACTGTAAAAGAAAAGTACCCAAATTAGAGCTATCAAAAACACACCCCCAACTACTTAGTTGAAAAGGACCAGACACCAGCTGAAGAGGCTAAGCAAGGACCAGGGCAGAGTCTCTGAGAGCCGCCTGACCAACAGAAAATGGAGAAGGGCAGACCCTAAAGCTGAAGGAACATGAAATTGAGCTAGAGGCTCCATTTAAGACACAGAGCTTGAGAATCATTAGAGGCCCCAAAATTATCTGTAAAATGTCAGTTTCACGGTGCGCACTTCAATAAAAGGGGAAAAAGTAAATAACTCATATGAAAACACTTCATAAAGTCTCGTAGGGGTACACACTTTAGGAAACTTTGTCTTTTATTGCCCTCTGCGTTAGACCCTAGATTGAAAGCTGCTCAAGAAAAACAATGAGTATATGACAGCAGTTACCTCTGGGTCTACTGTGTCTTGTCCTTCTTTTGAACCTTTTCCACTTTTCACCGGTTTCGGTGGTTCCTAGGAATGATCACAAAAACAAACAAAAATAACCAATGAGTGTTCTCAATATTTGGACCGCTAAGCCTCGGCTCAAATGCACTTTCCAAAATGATTCATTTCACTTGAGAGCTTCTAGTGGCTTTAATACGTCAGCAGCAAACTACATCATATTGAGTATATTCACAGAACCAAGAGCCTTCAAATTCCGTTTCTCTTCATGTTCTTCTCTTGACGGCTGTGTTGGGGGGCTGGGGTGTGAAAACTCCAGGCAGGGACAGATAAACCCAATCTTAGGCAGTGCTTTCGGCCCATCCCTTTCTTCCTCCCACCCTTAAACCTCACCAGTGAGGGTTTCTGGGGCGAGCCTGGAACGCTCCAGCACCCCAGCCCCCGCCACGCAGAGCACTGCACGGAGCATCCGCCGCCACCCAGAGCGACCGTGGCACCTCAGTGCCACCTCAGAGCCGGGGCGGCCTCCCCAGCTCCGTGCAATCCTGCCAGCGCCCTGGGCCCGCCCGCGAGGCTGGACGACCTGCCGCCCCGCCCCTACCCGCCGTCGCGGGGACCCCCCGACCCGGTGCCGGAGCCCACCGCCCCGACTCACTTTCTCCTTCTTGTTTTTATTCGGCATGGCTGGTGCGGGCCGCCGCCGCCGCCGCCCCTGCCGCCGCCCGCCGCCACCGCCGCTGCAGCAGCAGAAGCGCCCCCGGCCCGGCCG